CTAAAGCAGCGGTCCCGCTTCCAGACGTTAGCTTTGCTGTTCCCCTTAGGGGTGGGGGAGAAAGCCCCTAAAGGTGGGGAAAAGGGTCGGTGGAACGGCGCTTTAAAAAAAAAAAAATAAAAAAAAAAAAAAATCAGTTTTTCGTGTTTCCGAAAGGTCTGAATCCTCTCTGCAAATTCACGAGGTTGTTCGTTGCAGCTTATGCTTTTACGTTTTAACGTGTCAGAGTAGAGCGGGATCGATCAGAACGCTGTAAGCTGCTGAAGCGAAAAGGGGCTCTTCTGGTAACTCCTGCAGCATCGCGGCTTCGCGAACTTCAGCCTTCGCAGCAAGTCGGCAGTTGCGGGGAAAAGGGCTCGGTGCTGGTTTATTCCTTACCGGAGTATTTTAAGCCCATCGACCACGTTTAAAAGCTAACTTTAGTTTCACTGGCCGGTGCCAGCTTATATAAACTGTAAGTCGACAAAACCGGAGCCCTAAAACCGATAGGGTTTTGGATGGAGCTGCCAGTATGCAGTGAAATTAAATAAGTTATTTATTCGTGTTTGGAAAGTTTCTGTCTTTTTTCCAGATCTCGTGTAACCTTCAAATTTGCTGTGAGCCAGTCTAAATTTAGGTCTTGAATCAATCCTCAGCGGTAGCATCCTCACATCTGTAATTCTTCTTCTTGGGAATAAAAATTCCTCGTTAAAATAAGAGGTTCCTGAATTTAGACCACTACTTTATGTGAATCCCTGCATGTTTTCTTATCATATGACTTTGTCATTCTTTGGCTTTTTTTTGCTGCTTGGTTTTTTGTTTTTTTTTAAAGGTGCACTTGAAAGCTTACAAATCAATTTTTAGTCTTGCTGTTGTTCCATTTAAATACAGAATTATTATATTTTATAGTTTTACTAGGAAACTTAGTGAAAGAAAATGTGTTTAAATAGCTGCTATTACAACCAGAAGAACTATGGTTTGTTTTGATCCATATATGGAGAGGCTGGAAAAAGCTGTTCCCCTCTTTGTTACAAACTGAAAAGCGGTGCACAGTATCATGTTGAAATATTTTATATGCCAGCGTAAGAGGCAGAACATCAATTTTGACCTCAGTTGAGCTGAAACATTGAGGCTCTGGTTCTGAGAATACGTGTGTTGTTACCATAATATTTTAACTTCAAATAGTGATTTATTTAATTTTTTGTCAATAGAGTGGAAGGTGAAGGGAGCATCTGACTTTTTTTTTTTTAATTCAGCACCATATTGAAGCTTTTTGGGAAGGAACCATTGTCTTGTTCTTTTTTTGTGTGGAGGTTTAATATATATTTTTAAAATATATTAAATATATTAGAGTGCTAATAAAGAGTAGGCAGCATTCTTCTGAATGAACCTTTGCTCTAGGACAAAAGGTGTGTGCCTGACCTGTACATCTCTGAAAGCTTTGTATTTACTTAAATCTGGCTCGTTACTGTAACAGCTAATGACATTTAAAGCTTGCTGCGGTACATTGAACCAGCAGCTGTGCAGATACTTGCATGTGAAACAGTTCGTTACTAAAATAAACACAGGCATAAGGGCTTTAAGGATCAGGGCCAAGTTCGAATAAAGGGGAAGCGGTGCTTGCAAATACTGCTATCAATTGCAGAGACTGCAGTCGGAAGATTTACATGCAAGTGTATCATTTGGATGAGATTCGGTGAACATTTACAATCAATGACCTCTGGCAGCGTGCTGGCTAATTCGGAGGCGGAGAAGGGGTAGTTTTGAATACGTGTGATAGGCGGCGTGTCTCTGCAAGCAGTAGGGTTACTGGAGTACGCTGGAGCTACTTGATTATTAATGTTTCTGCGGTAAGCTTTTGCAGATGGCTTGTTATTGAGATACCCGGATGGATGTTGAAAACAAAGTTGAGTTTGCTCTGTGCGTTTGCTGCCGCTGGGACCGAAGGGCAGCCTGAGGCTGATGCCAGATGTGTCGCTGGGTGTATATTTAGGCACGCTGTACTTTTAGGAGCCCGCTGTTTTGGGAATTGTAGGCTGTCTTAACCAGTGCGGAAGGGTCTGCATTTCTGCAGCGAAGCAGGAAGTAGCAGATATTTTTGTTTGTGGAAATACAGCTCTCGGATGCTCCATCTATTTCTGTCACCGGCGCAGGGACCGCTCCTTGGGCTGTCCACGCAGAAGCGGAGGGCTTTGAGGTAGCCGTCACCGGCAGGAGGATGCCCGCCCAAGAAGTCCCCGATCGAAACTGACTTCTTGGAAATGTAGGCATAGCCCTATGCCCACGGCAGATTAGTTCCCCGTCCTTTTGGTTAGTTCTTACTTGAAATAGTAGTGAAATTGTGTAAAGGGGAAACCTTTACAATGGCACGCTTACATTTCCAGGCTAAGGGTGGGGGAAGGAACATGGTTGCTGCCAAATCACTGAAACTTTGCCAGAGATCTGCATCCTCAGCCCTGCTTTTATGTTTCCCTCAGATTCTGTTAATTGACTGACTTAGGCCCCGGTGTAGCAAAGCACTTCAATGGAGGTGCGCGCAGGCTTCAAAATGAGCACGGTTAATTTTGTTAGTTCTTTGAACCAAGTTAATTCTTCAAATCACAAACAGCGTTCGTATTGCAGTTCAGCTAAACAAGTGAACCTCACTTTTTAAAAAATCACCAAATGATGAATCTTTCTTCAAATGAAACGGTGGTGTTTCAGATCTTATTAAGGATCTCTTCTGTCATTGATGTACAAACCTAAAAAGAGGGTCGAAGGGAAGGTGTTCAAGTGACAGTCTTTTTCCTGTCTCCCTGTCTGCAGCGAACTTAGCTGGATTTACAGAGCTGCTCCTTGAGTCCTCCAGAGAGGTGTCTGCATTTTAACATCCATTATTGGTGTGTAAATAACTTTTTGCTGAGAATAACGTTCAAGCAGTATCAAATAGCTGCTCCCATCTGGAATTTCCAATTGCAGAGGGCTTCGCATGAGAACAGGTTGCCTGTTTTATGAGAACCCAGTTATCCCCACTCAGTCTTAGTGGCTGAGCAAACCCTGTCTGGGTTGTCCTCCTCCGCAGAGGAGCGTGAGGGTTATCTGACCTCCATTCCCTGTTTTTAATTTGGCTGTATTTGCAGCTTTCCTTTCAGTCCTAGCTAAGGGGCCGGTGCTTGCTCGGGGGTCCCACCTCCCCGGACGGGATGCGGTGCTGCGGTGCCCTGCAGCCTGCCAGAGGGTATGGCACTGCTGCCGAGTGGGCTGCTTGGACGTGCTCTGACAAGGGGCTCGAGTGCAAGTGGCTTTTTCAATGCATAATTAAACGTTTGGCCGTTGCTTTAAAGAAATTGTGTCAAGTTTTGGGAGCAGTCAGTGGAATTTGATTAGGTGTTGCATGAAATTTTTGTTGTGTAATGAGATATTTAAAAACTTTTCTATGTTTCTTCTTCCTTCCTTTCATGATTTTATTCCCCACAAATCAGGGGATGCTTCTGTCTTAATTATAGGATGAAGCTGCTAAGGACAGTCCTTTCTGCAGGTTTTTTTGTGCGCGGCATATCCTCACCTTTATTTTGTATCTAAATCTAGAAGTGAATCTACGTGGGGTTTTTGTAGGCATTTCAGCTATACATTATAGTAAAACCAGGGTCTGTTTCTTCATTGGCATAAGTAAACTGTGGAAATACTACACAGCAACTTTCCAAACCAATTGCACCTGAGCTTAGCTGAACAAAAAGCAGCCATTTCTGTCTAAGGATGTGTGACCTTTCAGCAGGGCTATCTCACTGCCATTTATCTAAATTACATGGTGTTAAAAAAACCAGCCAGACAAGCCTGACTTTTTATTAATTATGTGCACATTCTGCTTTGACAGGCTGAAATCTAATTTTATGATCATATTAACTTATCTTTTGTCCTTTCGGATGAGGTCTAATGCAAATGTCATACGACAGCATATGTGTTCATCTGTCGAAAGCAAAACGATATTCTAAACATTTGTTTTTCCCTCTCTTTTTGCCTTTCTTTCTGGGAACAGATTTAATAGAAAATGTTTACATAGCTTCGAGAAGCAGGAAGGAGCCCAAATCCCCCCAGGCCAGCGAGGTCCCTGAGCACAGGCTGCAGGTGAACAGCATTACTGTTTCTAAGAAACGCAGCTGGCTGCAGCAGAGCACGCACCGACCTCCTCCTCCTCCTCCGGAAGAAGAAAACACCTGTAAGGAAACGCACGGGGCTGTTATCCCGGTACCCAAATCTCCCATCCTGCTGCCTGAACCTGCAGTGCTGCGGGCTCCTTCCACGTCACCGGTGGGGCGGGAGCGCCCCATGCGAAGCTGCGCTCCTGTCGGTGCCCTGCCAAGCACCGCAAGCCCTGCCGTGCCGAGGAGCGCCGCTTTGGACTTCGGTGAGGATAATGATGCAGATGATGAAGGAGAAATATGGTACAACCCGATCCCTGAAGATGATGAGCCTGACTTGCTGAGGGTCTGCCCTTTTGCTGTGAATAGCCCTGTTGCTCTGGGCTCCCCGGTGGTTCGGTACAACCCCACCCCTGGGGGTGACTTGGGAACGGCCACGGGTCCCCACGAGGGTCCCCCACGCTCCATGGAGAGCGCGGGGGACAGTTGGGTGGCTCAGCCCAGCGAAGCGAGTCAGGCCGATGCAGTGCATCCTGGGGAGCACATGCAGCAGCACCGGCAGAGGTTTGCCTGCAAGGCTCCCAGCGTCTCAGCAGTAGAGGACAATCCTGCCTTTAAGTGCCCTTCAACAGGTAAGAGTGTTCAGGAACATAGAATCATAGAATCACAGAATCGGTTAGGTTGGAAGAGACCTCTAGGATGGAGTCCAGCCATTAACCTAACACTGCCAAGTCCACCACTAAATCATGTCCCTAAGCACCACATGTACACATGTCTTAAATACCTCCAGGGACTCCACCACTTCCCTGGGCAGCCTGTTCCAATGCTTGACAACCCTTTTGGGGAAGAAATTTTTCCTCATGTCCAATCTAAACCTCCCCTGGCGCAACTTGAGGCCGTTTCCTCTCGTCCTATCGCTTGTTACTTGGGAGAAGAGACCGACCCCCACCTCGTTACAACCTCCTTTCAGGTAGTTGTAGAGAGCGATGAGGTCTCCCCTCAGCCTCCTTTTCTCCAGGCTAAACAACCCCAGGTCCCTCAGCCGCTCCTCATAAGACATAACAAAAGTGTTGTGTTGTCTATTTTCTTTTAGAGGAATAATAAATCCTTCTTATGTCTCTCTTTTCTTTCTCCTCCTCTTACCTTTATCGAGCAAATTTCTGGTGGAAATGCATGTCAAGTTAATAAAAAAATGACTCAAATTGTGAGACTGATACCTACGAAATGTAGAGCTGCACAGCAGTTTCTCAGTCAGTTTGTTCATGGCGTGTCCAGGTGTGGTTGTCCTCTGTGCTCTTTGGCCCCCACCTCGCTGAAGACAGGTTTTGCAAAGAGAGCTTGCTAAAGCCTGGTAATGTGAGGACACACGGGGTTTCCTTTGTTAGCTAGTGTCTAACCCTGGCCTTGGATTCCAGCCTTGAAGCTACTTAATGTCTGCAGAGGTTTCTTTAACTTGCTGTCTGGGACTTTTTAATAAAGACATTTTGGAAGACCATATAAACGCTATTCATCACGTTGCTTTCTGTAATTGCCGTCTTGTTGACTGTCTCGGGCTAATCTAATAGACTGGAGAGGAGTGGTTTTCACTTTCAGAAGCCCGCCTCTTTGTTCCTTGTTATCTTTGGCTGAGTGTTTGATAGTCTCATTTCCATAATTCCATTAGTGTGTGTGAATTCAGCATCTTATCTTATTAATTTCCCAGTCTATTAAAAAAAAACCCAAACAAAAATAAAACCACACCAAACAAAAGTAAACAGAAAAAAACCCCAACCCTTTCCAAAAAGGTGTTATTTTTAATTACGGATGTCTCTTACATTATCTTGACCTTAACTCTAGTATCCTGTTGAGAGTTAGAAACTTAGCGTAAAGTTCAGGAGACAAGGAATTCCAGGTTCCCCTCTTTAGAGAAAGTTCACGCTTTCTTTGCACTGACACTTAAGAGCCTGTATTTCTGCCCGGCTCAGCAGAGAGGACCTGTAACACCGGCATCGGAGCCCAGGTGTGCGTTGCCCTGAGGAGGAGCTCCCAGTCCGGCTTGCCCCCGTCCAGCCCTGCCATCCCGGCAGGCTTCTGCCCCCGTGTCCCTGCGTGCCGGGAGCTGCTGTGCCCGGGTTCCCAGTGCGGAGATTGCTTCTGGGAACGGGGCTTGTTTTCAAAGGCACCAAAGCAACTGCTGTAAACAGCGGAAGAAAAAAAACACTCGGTCTTCTCTTCTGGGAGCTCGCGTTTTGTTCTTTTTGTGGAAATGCTGGAGATACAAGCGTATTTTTAGTTGCAAAGTGTGTTAAAGTTATCAGGCATTCATTTAGAAATAGCTCACTTTATAGCTGCATTAAATACTTATACAAGTTATATTTGCTTGCAAGATAGATGAAATGGCATGTTCTTAGGTAGATTTTTGTCATCGTTGGAGCTCTAGGCGCTTTGGAGAGGTCAGTAAGCATGGTTATTTAGGAAAGCCATGTGTGTGTCCTGCAAACCGTTTGACCTCTGTTTAGGCAGTTAATCTCTCAATATATAGGTGACTATTTCTTTTTTAAAAAAATAAATCCCTTTATGTGAGAAGAAAAAAGTCAAAATTGTTTTCATACTGAACAAACTTTTATTTCTGAAAGCAAAATTGCCCATTTAAAGTGTCTCATAAAACCAGGAGAAAAGTGTGATGAATTTCCCCTGATGGGTTTGTTATGCATTGAGTTAATTAAGGTACTTTAAATGCAGCTCTCCTTTTGCATGTATTGAATAGTGATCACATTGAATAGATTAATTGATGATGAAGTGGATCCCTGCTGCTCAGTAATTGGCTTTAGTATGGAGAAGTGGCTTAGTTCTTCTTTTTAATCTGGTTAAGGTGTCTACAGTTATTTTCAGTCAAATTTAAAATGACAGCTCATTCATACAAAATTACTGCGTGAAGGGCAACATGGCCAATTTAACTTTATTTGTGATAGGACCTTGTTTGAATTATACAGCTGCTGTGAAATAGATGTCTGTATTCTTAGAGAGCTGGGTACATTAAGCAGTAACTCCTGACAAATAAGCAATTACTGCTTTGGGGAAAAGTCTGCTTACCTTTCTTATTGGTATGATTTTATATATGTCAATATTGGTTAGCATTAGAGTCTAAAGTATTACATTTTGAGAAGCATAGATAGAAAAAAGTGGGGCACTATAAAAGCCAACAAAATATATAGTTGTTCATTTTGTCATTTGCTGTTTTCTTCTTTGGATAATGGAATCAATTTTACCTTTAAAACTTTAAACACTGCTGCCTTATTTGGATTTCCAACTTTGTAGAGAGAAAACAGTAATGGATTTTTTCCTTTTTTTTTTTTTTTTTTAGAGAGTCTTTATTAGAAGATTAAGAAAAAATAAATGATAGAATTCAGTTACTGGGAGTCTTTCCAAACACAGCAGCAAATAGATATTTCCTGTAAATGTTATTGATAAAATGGATCATAGTTGTAGAGATGCTAATTTGCCCCATAGTCTTAATTTACACTGTTAGTTCCTGGTGTTAATCTGGTTACTTTCTACAGTAAATGCCATTTATGTTAATAGGATTTGTCAGGTAATTCCTTAGTGAATAATTCTAGCCAGAATCAGAAACTGATTAAAAATAAGGTGTCCCTATAGCAGAGCTTGGGAAAATAATTCATGTAATTTGTTTGTGACAACTACACGAAAGGTAAGAATAAGAAGGTAACTTGGTTCCGAGTTAGTAATGTAGAAATACAGCGCCAGCTCGTGCTCTTAGGTCTGTGGGAAAAGAGTTTAAGTGGAAAGGACCCTGGAGGCTGTTTTTAATTTGATGTCTCCTTGCACAGGCAAAATGGTTATGATTGGAAAATAGGAATATTTTTTGTTACAAATGCAATATGAAAAATTCTATATAGAGTTTTTTGCGTCTATAAAATGTTAAAGTAATTTTTTTTTACAACTGTTTAGGATTGAACTCTAACTGTGTGTGTTTATAGATGTGTGTATCACCTGCAAAATGTTGACGAAAAACACCCCTTTATAATGTCGGCTCCTGCGACAGATTTACATCGTGGAGCTCGGAATAGTGCCTTCTGAAGAATTTGTAATATTTTTGCTTTTGGGGAGGATTACTGTTGGGATTAGTGTCTACCTAATCAGTGGAATCATCTCACATGTGTCTGTATCTCAGAGACATCCTGGTAGGACTTGTGCATTGTAGGTTGCCAGGAACTGGGCTGTGCTTTTGCTGCTGAAAATGTACGTGTATTAGCTGTCTGGATGGAAAATCCTGGTGGGAATCACCGTAACAGATTTCTTTTCACCGTTGCAGGAAGTGAAGATTGATACCATATTCCCACTTAACCCCAATACATGCCAACTGGAGCTTGGCTTAAATCACATTAAAACTACAGTGCTTTTTCTCCACTTAGACCGTGACCGCTATCCTGGTTTCCAAATACATTTTTAGGGCCAATGCAGGCAAATATTTTGCATGCTTAGATGTTACAAATAAACTTCCAGCAATATACATAGGGTATACTGGGCAGCAAATCCTGTCTACCAATTTCTTTCCACACGTTGCCAATACTGTTTGCTTACTTTTTATTTTTTTTTCCAGGTGGAAGATGCTGTGTGATTTAACGGTTTTCCAAGTGCAAGGAGCTTTGGTTTGGTTTTCATGGTTTGCATGAAAAGCATTCATGCAAAATATTTGCTTAATGTTTGAGATACCGAAATGGTTTGGTATGTGGTAGAAAGGTCCCTCTGCTCTGTCTTTCTCCTGCAGAGCTGAAGCCAGTTTGTTGGCGGGCTTTTGGGGAGCTTGTGCACATGCTTTTGAAGGTTGAGGGCTTATTCATGCGCTGTCTTTGATCCATGGGGTGACAATGCCATAAGGACCTGCTGGTGAAAGAGGCAAAAGGATGTAGCAGCTGTGGAGTGGAAGCAGTTAATTTGAAATAGCTATTGCCTTTTTCAGTTTCTGATTTGTACCGAGTAACTGTTTATATCCTCTGACTGGGGAAATAGGGGCAAAGCTGCTTTTCATGCCATGAAGGACACAGTGAGGGGAGGAAATCTTCGTGAGAGCAGCTCAAACAGACAGTGCTTGGCGTCAGCCGCCGTGCTGCCGCCTGCGTCTTGGTGTGACGCCAGCGTCTGAATAGAGCCGACTGTGGTTTACGTGCATCGCAGAGTCATTAATGTTTAAAATATCTGCAACAAACTCATGCTCGTTTGTAGATACTGAACTCTTTAAGACTGGGCAGAGATCTAAAGTGCTGTAACGCGTGCTTGTTCCTCTCTCTGATGAGGGACTGCTTGTCGAGGATGCTCTGAGGATCGCCGCCATGATGAAGAGCGGGCAGTGGTCAGCCCCTTCACCTCTCGGCGTGCGTGCAGCCGCGGGAGGTTACTCTGTAATCACTTCCCGTTTTAATTAATGGACTATTTAAAGCAATTTGTTTTCTATCTTTTGCTCCCATAAAAGTGATCCCTGGGTTGATGGGTTTGTCACAGCTTAATTAATGTCACCATGTATAGTATTTGAAGAAAACAAACTACCATTACAGAGTTCTTAGAGATTTTCTTTTTTTTTTTTTTTTTTATTGCCCTGTTAATAATTTCTCCATTGCTTGACTCTGAAGCGTTATGTGGAATGGAACTCAGAGGCTGCATTGGTCAAAATAGTAATTTTTATAGGGGTAAAAAAGACTTTTTTTTTTCCCCCCCCATTAGATAATTAAGATGTTACTTAGAAATAATTTCATTCTATCCCAATTTCTAAAAATTCCTTTTATTTTTTTTAAGGATTTTTTTCCCAGTTGCTGATGTGGATAGTGGTGACGCTTTCCTTATTTTAATTGAAGTTGCTTGAATTTGATATAGCAGGAATTCTTCTCTTAATGGCATTTGCAGTTCTACTCTGAAGTTTTCTATCAGAACAGGTCTGGAACTATCTGAGGATGAAAAAGCGTAACGGGCCTGCGTCTGAGTAAGTTCACAGCCTCTGACATCAGTAGAGCTGTCCTGTTTCTGTCAGTTGAGGATCCGGATCAGTATTTCTTGTGGCATCTAGCACAGAAAAACAATCGCCCTTTTTCACTCGCCCATCATTTGCTACAAGAACAATTTTGAGATATTTTGGCTTTTCTGTTTTGACTTGCTGCTTTTTTATTTTAATACATTTTTGCAGTAAGTCATTGGTTTGATTTAAAAATAATAAAAGAAAAGGAATGAAAAATGTAGGCAGAAGGGAGACTTTGGTTTTGAAAGTTATAACCCCTCAGTGTAAGCTGTATTTTTTTTCTCGGAATGAAATGGCTTAGAGCTTCAACACTAATGTCATTATTCTAGAGAGATGCTTTCAGTGTTAGCTGTAGTGTACTTATTAAGTATGTCAGGAGAATGGTAGGAAAAATTAAATTACCTATCAGCTTTAATTTGGTCGGAACTCACCATTTTCATTAGCTATGAGAGTGGCCGTTTGATATTTCAATTGCTTGCTGTAATAAGGAACTGAATTTTCTGCCTTACTCATTCACCTCGACTCGTCGTCCCAAAAATAAATTACAGGTTTTCTGATGAACTTTAAAATAACTCAGAAACCCTACCTGGGTTACGTTATGTATAGAATAGGGTAATCAAATATGCCTGTAAAACAGCATGCGCTGCTGGCAGTCGGTATGACAGTGATGTATGTGCCCAAGCACATGTAAACAGTGTTAAGCAGGGTCAGACAAGCATTTTTACTATGCTAAATCATTGCCTATGTCTGGCAGGGGCTGTGTTGTAAGTGCTTAAGATAGTTTGAGTCCTCTCTTGCCTTGGGGCAGTGCCGTGTAGGGGTACGGTCTGTCAGCGCTTCCCTGCTCGACCGAGGGGACGGTGGCGATTGCCCCGTGGACAGCTGGCCGGGTGGGGTGGGAGAGGGGGGCTCTGGGTTTGTGAAGCACTGTATTCCCATGGGCTGTTCATGTCTCTCCAGTTGTGTCTCTTTGGTCATGAAAAGGCTTTATCCTTTCACGCAGCCGTATCGCTGAGCAAAGTAAAAGGTGGCTTTACTAGTCAAGCTGAACAAATAGCTGATGGAAGCAGTCACGATGTCAAGTCACTTTGACTTGGATTGTGTTGTCCTTCAAAAGCTATTTTTTTTTTTTAATTTTCTGTCTTACTCATACTGCTAAAGTTGCCGGAAAGCATAAGCATATCATAGAACAGCACAGGTTGGAAAGGACCTTGAAAGATCATCTGGTCCACCCTTTGGTGGGAAAGGGAGCCTAGATGAGATTACCTAGCACCCTGTGCAGTTCCATCTTGAAAACCTCCAGTGATGGGGACTCTACCATGTCCCTGGGGAGGTTCTCACTGTAAAAAATAAATAAATTGTATATATACAGATATATATAGTCAGCTGCATCACATCAAACGGACCATCCCCTTGCCACCTTGGTAGTCATTTATGCAACAGGTGCCTCTTATGTTTCATCTCCTCCTACCATCCTTCCGTAAGGATATTTTTAAAGCTTAACTGGTAAGATGGGACGTGTGGTAGCAGAGTGAGTGGGGACAGGGACAGTCAGGAGCCTGTTTGCAGCACAGCCGTGTAACTTGGTAAAAGGCATGAGGCGCAGCTCAGTTCCTCTAGCACCCTTGTGAGAAAGCTGTATCGGATGGGTAGGCTGGGACGTGAAGCGTTACTGGACTGCGCTACAACTCCTTTTGCAGCTTGTTCAGAGCTGTCATGTACACTCTTTAAAATTGCGTGCATACCTCAGCACATTGCTGGCTTTAGTGGAACAACATGTGGCTCAATGCTGATGGGAATACCATCCTGCATAATACTCCACTGTTAAGTTTCTTCCAGCCGCATATTTCATTTTAACTGTTTGGTGCTGCACGCAGCAGAAGTTGGACGCATAAAAGTCAGAGTGTTAGATTGACTCTTCAGTTTTAATGAGCTGGGGGGAAGTTTAATTTGCTGGCCTGCTTTTCCAAGCCTGTGCCAGAGACTTTTGACAGAAAGGGAAGATTAATGTTAGCGGGCTGAAGTATGAGAGCGCTCCAGGCCAGCCCACCAGTGGGACCGTGCTGTGATTTGCAGTACAAGGGAAGGCTTTGTCCGCTTTTATCAAACACCACATTTCTAACTAGCTGCTTGCCAGAAAAGCACAGCAGGCGTGCTAGAAATAGCCCTTCCCCTGCGAGGGAACTACTTCCATGAGATGCAGGGCTAAATGAATTTTCCTCTGTCGCTCTGGAAAACAGATTCTATGCATTATTCTTCATAACTGAAACTTTCTTTTATAAAGATATGCTTTTAAGCAACTATCGGCAAAAGTTATTAAGCCAAACTTCCGTTGGGACTAGAACTAGTCTTTGTAGGGTTTTTTTGGGGGGAAAAACCAAAATCACTTTGGTCAAAGACCAGATCACCCGATTTAACTGTTTAAGCTAAGTGAAGTACAAAAAGTAAGTTACAGTTAAATGGTGAAAATTAATTTAGATGAACAGGGGACTTGTAAAAATCACTAGCTGCATGGTGATTTGGACTTGAAGTGATCAGTTTAGAATTAAAGCGGTAGGCCTTTGAGAAATCTGTAAGAGAAACCTCTGTAAAGTATGATTTGCTAAGTATTTCGTGAAAACAATGCTTCTTTCGTTCCTTTTTATATGCTGTAAATAGACTCTCCCTTTCCCCGGCTGGCAGGAGGGGATGACAGACGGATATAGGTGTTTGAGTCTCTGTGAGCTGCTCGGGCTAATTGCACCACACAGGGTTAGCGTGCTTAGGGGCTCCATAGTACCCCAGCCTGCACAGGCAAGGCTACACGAGTCCTATTGGGAGCCGCTAAAATTCGCAAAGTGATGAGTGAATGGGGTGGTTATTGCTAGCAAGAACCACTATTGGTTTCTCAAGGGATAGAAAAGTGACTCTAAGTGAAAGCACTCAAGTAATATTATTAACTATCATTCTGGCCTCAGTTCCCCTCTTGCATGCTTCATTAACTCGCGTAAATTCATTGCCTTCCTACAGTCATTACTGCCTCATGCTGGTGAAAGTGAGAAAAGCTTGAGCTATAACTTGCTATTTGGATTTCCTTGAGTATTGGAGCATGAGGTGAACCGCAGGCTCCTGACTGTGTGCAATACTGGCTTACGTCTGATTGTGTTCCTTAATTAGTTGTCCTTTACTGCTAAATTGAAAGAGTCTTTTTTTTTTTTTTTCCTTTTTCTTTTTCCTTCTTTAGCATCAGTGCCTGCTGTTACGAATTTTTTTTTTTGGTACCTTGAAAGGTGGGTGATTTCCCATGAGGACGTCACTTGGGAACCGTATAACTTTAAGCCCTGTCATGGGATGGTTGTGCCAGGAAAGATGGAAATTTGCTGGCAGGAATGAGGCAGTGCAGGACGCAGCTTTTGGGAGGAATAAATCCTTGTTCAGTTCCTCCTCCTCTGTCCTGCAGTGGAAAGGAGCTGAGAGAAGTGGAAGAAAAGGTGTGAGGCACTGCCTGCGTCTACACAGGAGGGATTTAGGGCTCTTTGGGGTAATAGAGGGACGTGCACAAGAGTATAGCCATATTCTTCTTAGAGATGAGTGTCTTTCCTCTAGACCTAAGAGGAGTGGGCAACGCTGATGTGTTGGCTGCGTAGCTAACTGCTTCTTAAACAAGGGTGCATTTGCCGTATTCCAGTGTTTTCCCATTTAAGACCGGTTTCGTTGCACCTGTGCCCCAGGAATGCAGCCATGTCTGTTTGTATGGGGGATAGAGCACAAATGGATCGAGCTGAATGCAGCGGGTGAGATAGCTCGTTTGTTTATATGTCGTTTCTGGCCCTTTCATCTCCATAAAGCAGAACAAATCTGGCTTTTGACTATCAACTGCCAAATTTGGCTGAACGAGTCAGCAGAGCACAGCTTTCTGAATGCTCGTGAACATCTGACTGATGAATGAATGATGGCTGTCTGAATGAATTGCGTTTATCAAGTTATGACAAATCAACATGTTTTCCCCTAGTTCAAGATTTATCTTGTCATTGCTGCGAACTGCAGTTACCGAGTGGTTTGAAAACGATTATTCCTTCTCTTTTCTTCTAAAGGGTCTGGATTTGTAGTTGCACACAAGGCTGATGTACCCTCAACAGAGGTTTCTCCTCCAAGTCCCAGTCCTCTGAAAAAAAGCGGATCAATCAACTGGCCTTTCCCTGATAGAATTAAATCTCCCAGGACTGTGAGGAAGCTTTCCATGAAAATGAAAAAGCTGCCAGAGCTGAGCAGGAAACTGAGTGTCAAGGGAACTTCAAGCCATACTAGTTCAGATAACCCTCCTTCCCTGCTGAAAGGTACCTGCCGGGATACAAGCCATACGGTGTCTTTGCCATCTGCTGGAAACTCGGCCACAGCTGCCAGCAGGAATGTGATAAGTCGTTACCATCTCGACAGCAGCGTGTCGTCGCAACATACCTACAAAAAGAAAAACTCGAGGAGCTCCAAATCCTTCAGCAAAGGTGGTTACCTCAGTGATGGCGACTCTCCTGAACTTATAACGAAATCAGGTAAACATGGGCATGAAACCAAGTGTGGGAAAGGAAAGGAGAGCCTTCCAAGTAACAGTGGTAAAACTGAAATAGATATCGATGCTTTCAGACACTATAACTTTTCTGATCAACCCAAGTGCTCTCAGTACATCTCTGGACTCATGAGCATTCACTTTTATGGTGCTGAAGACTTAAAACCACCAAGAATAGACTCAAAAGATGTCTTTTGTGCAATACAGGTTGACTCAGTAAACAAAGCAAGAACAGCCCTGCTTACGTGTAGGACAACATTTCTAGATATGGACCACACGTTCAACATAGAAATTGAAAACGCTCAGCACTTAAAGCTGGTGGTGTTCAGCTGGGAACCCACCCCGCGGAAAAATCGGGTGTGTTGTCATGGAACCGTGGCTCTTCCCACTCTCTTCCGAGTGACAAAGACACATCAGCTGGCTGTCAAACTGGAACCGAGGGGGCTTATTTACGTCAAGCTGTCGCTCATGGAGCAGTGGGAGAACTCTCTTGATGGTCTCGATGCGGATCGGGAGCCCGTGATGTTTGGGGTAGATGCCCGAAAAGTTGTAGAGAAGGAAAATGCGGGCTTGATGGTGCCACTTTTGATGCAGAAATGCATTCTGGAGATTGAAAAGAGAGGCTGTCAGGTACTGTGCATATTTTATTTTCTTAATATTTCTGTGTTGGGATAGCTGCTGTTGCAGAGTGTGAGCAGTGAGTGGGAAAGGGGAAATTAAAAACACCTTTACATGTCACTTTTTTTTTGCTTTGCTGCTCCTGTTGTTTGGTGAACACTAGTCATTGTAACATGGGAAGAATAACAGGACTGTGTGAAATCAATGCTTCCAACTTGGCCTTTGTAGAGGAGGTATATGCTTGCTCACAGGAGATGCTCACAGTAGTGCTTTAGGACTAGGGAATGTTAAATGAGCCTGCAGCCCTCAGCATGCAGTCACACTCAAAAAGCAGAGCTGAGATGAGAACCTGAAAATGCCTGATTCCTGAGACACAGATCACTCCCTAAGGACATTGTATCTCAATGCAAAAATGAGTATAATGTTCCCTCCTACCTGAAACCGAGGCATCGTGTGCAGGGACACAAAGTGATGAGGACAGGTCTTCTGACAAAGCTTTACTTACGTGTGTGCAGTCTCAAGCCAACATGCCAAAGACTCGTCTCTGCCATCACTTTGTGTACAGCATTAAGATAAGGAGGAGACCCTGAGGGGCTGAATTAGTTGTTTCCCTATGCCACTGCTCCTTGCCTTTCTTCGGATCGTTTTCAAAATTAGGACAGGAGATGAATGGCAGCAGTGCCCAGTGTCTTCTCTTCATCCTGATGCAGTTAATTGGTTGATGTAACCTAATGGACAAAAATACGTATGAGAAACAAGGTATGGAAACGAATCCCCAGTTACGGATGCTAGGCAAGAAGTCTAATGGAGTCCCCATCCCTGGAGGTCTTTAAAAGATGTGTAGATGAGGCACTTAGGGACATGGTTTAGTGGGCATGGTGGTGTTGGGTTGACGGTTGGACTCGATGATCTTAGAGGTCTTTTCCAACCTCAGTGATTCTATGATTCTAAGTCTGTGAGGAAGGGAGATGCACAGTCCTAAGGACGGATGTCCCCCTTGGCAATTAATGTGAACCTGGTGGGAGGACTCTTGCATGCTGTTCCACAGCATGCGTGAGCCCTCTGTCTCTGTTACACCCGTTCCTGCTCAGGTGAAATTGAGAAGTGATCACACCTACCACTGTTACTATTTTAAATTCCTGACAGGTTGGATGTAGTTCCAGGTGTTATGAGATTAACCCTGCTATTTATAACCTAGGTCATAAAATATAAACAGAAATGGTATTTCTATGTAATTACTTTGCTGGAAGTCACTACTGATAACAACTGCGTGATTCTTATTGTGAATGCTTCTCCTAACATTATGCAAATCAGTGGAAAAGAGAAGTTTTATTCTTTCCAGTGTATGTGTCCCATGGTTTCAGCATTTTATTTTGGGCTTATTAGCACCTAGTCATGCAAATGATATTGGGTAATCAAGGCAACACTGGTAATGAAGCGATGGGGATCTGAATTGTCTGAATGTACCTGGTGCTTTTGAGCATGAAATCTAATTTGTGTATTTGGACAGGGAGAACCAAAAATGCAAAATATACTGTTAACTTCTTGTTTTAACCACGTGTTTGTCTGACTTTTTTTCCTTTCCTATAGACTGCAGATTACTGTCATAGTGTGTCATCTCCACCTGAATTTCAGACGTGGCATTAGAAAACTTCAGAGTTTAAAATAAATTGTCTTAGGCAAATACTAGATCATATTCAATCTTGGGAAAGAGGGAGTACAAATTCTATTGGGTAACTTTCCATTTATTTAAACGGGAATTAATATATGGCCAGACAAATACTCTTCTTTGCAAACCTAGATTCGCATGGTCTAAGTCAGTACGGTCTAAGTCAGGGGTGTGGTGTTGTTTTTTTTTTTTTTTTTTTTTTTTGTCTAAGTCAGGGGGTTTTATTTTTTTTTTTTTTTTTGAGTCCATGGTAGTTTTGGACTAGCTATTTACTGCTCAGTATGCCTGCCTATAAAGTTCATTAAAATAAAGTAAAATTAATATATTTAAGATTTAGTTCCTTAATATCATAGGAGTGCTTTGTATAAATGGTGTTGATGAAAATGAAAAGTAAATAATGATAAAATGCAAAATTTGAGTGCATGAAAGCACATTATTGAATTAGTAATTCAGTCCAAGAGTATTGTGGGCTTCATTTCTATCACCTTGAGCATGTTGAATAACCCCTGCTTTGCATAAAACTTTTAATACAATTTGAAACACGTGCAAGTCAGCATCTTGTCATCTTTAAAACAGCATATTACAGATGTAATAATGGAGTATTCATAATTCTTTTTAAACCCTGGTGTCAAATATAATTTAAATTTTGTTTACTATCTAGCTTATTCTGTATTTCTCTGTTTCCTAAGTTTGCAGAAAAGCGAAGCACTAAATGATTCCGGTTTAAAAGCCATGGTCTGTCAATAAAATACTGCTCAGCGTGTTCACCGTTACAGAAAACATTAGTGTTACTAGCTTACCGCTTAACAGTTGCACCTGTGTCTCTTGTGTAATGTTTGATAACATACGTTATCATTTGATGTTAACAGTTTGTGCTGTTTGAGTTTTCTTAAAGTTTATTTCCAAACAATTGCCTGAACGTGTTTGTCGCGCTTCCCGGATGAGACAAAGCATAATGTCAATTGTTAGTCCCCTCTGCAGGAAAATAACTGATGTGAGGCCGTTGTTTTTGCTCCTAGGTGGTAGGCCTGTATCGGTTATGTGGCTCAGCAGCGGTTAAAAAAGAGCTTCGGGAGGCCTTTGAGAGGGACAGCAAGGCCGTTACTCTCTGTGAAAGCCAGTACCCAGATATTAATGTCATAACAGGTAATACATTTACTTGCTTTTCTTTTAATATAGAGCTGTGCCGTGTTCCTAACGTACCTTTTAAAAGGTGAAATTGTGCTCCGAACTAGTTTTCTGTCGTCATTTAACAAGCTGTTAACTGCTGCTTTGTATCGCTAAAGGTTAGGTGAGAAGGAGTGGGGTAACCTTGGGGACGTGTAGATAACGAAGCAGCAGTGATGTGGAGGGAGGGCGATACGGAAAGAGCCGCTCTCAGTACCCGCTTTACCGGTTACAGAGGGCAGTGGAAGTCTGAAAGGAGCCGAGGTCCCTGGAGCAGGTTAAGCCACTGCTGTTGGTTTGTATTGGAGCGGATCTTGAAAAACTCGGTTGTGATCCGAGACGTGCGCCGTGCCGGCCGCTCCACAGCGTGTGATCCAGGGGCCATCTCGGATCGACCCGTTGTCCTCCCTTTATGCTGGAGACTGCAGGATTTTTGGAAGCAGATTTCCCATCATCTGGCGCAGGCTAGTTAGAGCTGCAGGGAAGTGCCTTCATTTGATCATCTGCTTCTTTTAAAACATAATTAAATAGCAGCTTTCTCCTGCTCGCTGGAGTGGCCCTTTACTTGCTGTCACGCAGCAAGCTCCTGGCAAAGGTGAGAAGGACTGGGAGTACAGGACCAGGAGGTTTTAGGAAGCCCGTCTGCATCTGCATCAGCTCTTTACAGGAGTGTTTACACAGGAGTTGCACTGCACAACTGAAGCAAGTTGTTGAGGGGTTTTTTGTTTGCTTAAAAGTGGAACAGTTTTATAACTCTTGATACATGTTATGTAAACCAAAGTTGATCTAATTTCAGGCATCACTGAGTAAACCAATTGCTCTAGGAAATTAGGCAGGAGCATTCGTTTCCTACATATCCAGGGATGGAAAATGTGACAACAATAGTCAGGGTATAAATTTTCTGTGCCAAAGCCCTTTCTGTAACATCCAACATCCAGCTGTACGGGACAGTTCTGCCCTGTTTGGTGGTTTATTTCATTTTGGTGTATTGGGAATGAATTTTGTTCATTACACTTTATAATTATACAAAGCGGTATCAGAAGATATTACTCGGTGATGTTGACTGAGTTAAATAAACCTTTTGGTTCAGAATGTCTAGCTAGTCTGTTCACCTTACTTGCCTTGCTGGTTTTGCTGTTGGGTTCAGTGTTGCTCACAAGTACCGGCATTCCCGGCAGCAGAAACTTGTGTTTACGTTTTACTCTGATGGGATACACCCTTACAAAGAGGAGGTGTAGAGTGACAGTAAATAGTATAAAAGATCTTTTAAACTGGATAGTTTTCTTCTCTTTACAAATAAATCAATGAGAAAAAGTGTTGATAATTTCTAAGAGCAGATTGTTCCATGAAATTATTGAAGTCCTGTTTTCTTCCCGATTTTGTAAATCAACTTAGAAGGGGGAAAAAAACCACCCCCTGTTGCTTTCTGCCAAACAGTGGAAACTGTCTGATATTGACTTGTAAGCAGACACATGGCAAACTGCTATTTGGTTAATGTAAACTTTTGGCTAATGGAAAACTTTGGTTTTGGGTTTTTTTTAAATTTATTTATTTTGGAATAATAAAAATGGCATTGCACTCCCCCAAGTAATCATTACAATAAAACAGTATGTGGAGAAACAGTTCAGGAGTGTCATTGGAAAGGGTATAGGAACTTAATTCTAATGCATATAAAAAGAACCTGTAACACGTCATAAGCATTGTGATTTTCCTGAGTATATTGTACACTCAGGACCAACCAGAACTGGCTGCAACCAAAGTCTGAACCGCAGGAGAGCTCGGTACTGATGCAAAGCCCTGGAAGGGCAGCGGTGCAGTCTGACTGATCTTTCCATCACGAGTTTATGATGTGGTGGTTAAATTGAAAAGTGTATTTCGATTTTTCAATATACATTGCTGCAAGCCTCATTGGTGATGGTGAACTTTTGGTGACTCTGTAGGTCCTGCTGGGCTCTTGGTCCTTTTTTGGTTTGTAATACTGAGGGATAATTTTTTGCATTCAGAATTAGTATTCTAAGAGTGAAAAGACAACAGCTTTGGTGTCTGTCTTACAAAAAGACTACCGGGTATGCTTTTTTATGTGTTATGTTGCAAGAGTTGACTTATATGCTGCTTTCCTTACAGGGAAAAAATAGTTTTAAGAAATTACATTTAAAAAAAAAATAATTCTTTCCCCTGGTTCCCTGCAGCTGCGCTGTGTGATTGCCTGTAGTGCCTGTCTTAGAGTTGTGTTGAAAGGACTGAGCGCAGGGGTCCTGCATGAGTTGGGGGGAGCGGGGAGGGAAGGGGTGTTTGCACCCGTAACTGCTGCTGGCTAAACTGCAGCCCACTCTCTAATTAATTGTAAACAGTGTGGTCTGGGCTGAAAGGGGAACCTGCAATTTTTGCTGAGGTACCTACCGTACTCTAGTGCTAGGAATAAAAGGGCCCAAAAACCCTCTCTCGCATATGCTTAGGGAGCTGGGTTGCGAAGGAATGTTTCCCCTGATGTGTTACTGCTGTATTTGCAATGCTGAGGCTGATGCATATGATTCACACTTTCATAAGCCAAAACATGTGTTCCATAAAATATGAATCCTCAGCATAAATCTTGGCTGATTTGAAGAGAAGTGCTGCCTTGTGTCCTTTTTGAAATTTGAGTAGCGCTGCTTTTCCAAAAGATTAAAAAGATACATTTTTTTTTTGACAGCTCTCCAAAGACTAGAGAATGAACATTTAATGATTAAATCTTGATTGAGAAATGCTCTTGGGATTGGCACAGGCTTGCACACAGCTAAGTGTGCTCGTGGCTCAGACTGAAGCAGGCAGCCAGTTTTTGGAACTGACCAGTAGTCATGTTGTTGCCCCACGTCTGTTCGCATCCACGTGAATTCATATCTCTGCATAAAGCATGCAATACTGTTAACAGTTCAGTGGGTCAGAAAAATGAGGAATTAATGAAGTAGATGGCAATTTCTGCTCGCTGTCGAAATTGGTTGTGTGTGGTTGTGTCAAGGGGAATGCGCTAGTGGGCTGGCAGCAGCAGGAAGCATAGATTCATGGAAAAAAATAACAGCAGCCTCTTAACAGGGCTAATTTAGCTGAGTGAATAGCGAAAGGATTTAGAAAGGTCAAGGGGCATTCATGGCTCCCAAACTATTCTTTTATTCAGGGTTAAACAGGAGAAAGTCCTTTGGCAGGTGGTAGTCCTATGACTGTGGATGCTGTTACAGGAATTCCTACTAAATTATTATTAATAGATAGTTATGAGTGTTTCAACAGTATAAGCTGATTTGATTACGACATCCCCCTCCAAAAAAAAAAAAACACAGCTGAAACAAAGATGCTGATGAAAGTCAGCATCTCTTGCTAGTGTTTTGCTTTCAGGAAGAGGAAAACATCCCAAACTGTGATGTACAACACCAGCTCCTGCCACATTTGTCTCATAAATATTGTAACCGCTTAATCCACACATGGAACACGGGCCTCTAAAATGTGGGGAAGAAGAAAAATTTTCTGGGGAGGGGGGAATATGAGTAAGTTATTCAACAAAAACTAGCCACGTAAGTGGAGCACTAAAAAAAGTGGCATAATCTTTTTAAAACAAACAAACAAAAAAATCCCAAACCACCAGAGGGGAATACGTTTTCAGGAAAATATGTGGATGGTTGGTTGCATTTTTTTCTATTCCTGATGGGAGGTTCCCATTTTAAGCACAGGGTGAGCTGTTAGGTGCTGTGTGGTGGTCTGCGGAGACAGACGTTTTGCCTGGTTGCCCCACGCCTTATGCTGCGGAGAGGGATGGTCTGGCAGCTCCAGGGGGTGATGCTGCTTCAGTTAGCGCTGCTCGTGCAACATGGCTTGAATAGCTGCATTACCGCTAGGTGCGGTGTTCTTTTTAAAATAAAAATATTTATATGGGTAGAAGCCAACTTTTACTTGCATTCTGCATGTGAACATGGCTATGAAAGGGAAAATGTTAACTTTTGTTCCCTGTATTTTTTTAGAAACGACCTCATAACAAGCCCACTGCTGTACGGTTCAGTTTACAGCTAGGTTATAAAGATTGAGTTTATAAAAACTGTTGCTTTGTTAAATAGCACGGTGTGATGGTATTTGCTGTGATTTGGGATTTTACAAGGCTATGAGGAGTGCATACTAAAAAAATCTTCTACCTTTCCAACTTTGCCTTTTCTGAGGACGAGCTGCTTTGTTAATTACAGTACCTGCTTTCAAAAAGCTTTTTTTAATCCACCATTTCTTCTTAACAAAGTATTTAAAATCAGTTGTTATCTAGCTAAAATGGGTAGATATTTGTGGCACAGAATGCATTTTTTTAATGAAAATAAAAGCTGAAACCCCACTCAAACTGAAGTATCAGCCAGCTTCTAAAGCCAGCTTACAAGAATGCAAATACTCAATTCCTTCTTGTTTGTTTGCATCTGTGGAAGGAATAGGGGTTAATGCGCTTGCTGGTTGCTGCATCCCCTAGAAACAGCCTCTCCTCCGGCACGCCTCCAGCTTCTGAAACGGTGCAGTAAGTCTCTGCAACTGGGAGGGCTCGGTGCACGGGTATTTTAGCCAGTGTCTCCTGTGGATGTGCATTATAGTTGTCACAGCGGAAGCGAGCGGTGTGCTGGGGGGACAGAGTACCCAGAGGCAGGGGGGAGTTGGTGGTTCCCTCTTGAGGACGTCTGTCTGGTCTGTGCCTTGGTAGGTGAGAAAACACCGTGTGCTTTGCCGAGCGTGGCACTGGCACCGAGGTGTTTGCTCATAGTTTCATAGCTGAAAATACACTCGTGGTGGGTTGACCCTGGCTGGACGCCAGGTGCCCACCAAAGCTGCTCTATTTCTCCCCTCCTCAGCTGGACAGGGGAGAGAAAATAGAATGAAGGGCTCGTGGGTCGAGATAAGGACAGGGAGAGATCACTCACCAATTACCGTCACGGGCAAAACAGACTTGGGGAAATTAGTTTAATTTGTTACCAATCAAATCAGAGTAGGATAATAAGAAATAAAAACTAGACCTTAAAACACCTTCCCCCCCACCCCTCCCTTCTTCCTGGGCTTAAGTTTAATCCTGATTTTCCCTACCTCCCCCCCCCCCCGCCCCCGGGGCCGGGGGACG